GGACCCTACGGAAAACATTGTCTTCTCTTGTCCCGTACTGCTTTAGGCGTGTTTGCCACATCATTGCATAGCAATGGTCGCGGCGGGGACTGTTGAGGAGTGTTTACCGCGAGCACATGCTTACTGAGCTGTTGCCTAGAAATGGGTATACATGTCACAATATACGCGTATATATAGTATTCTCAGCGCATAATATTTGCTTGGCATGACTTCACTATTTGACATGATATTACTGTGTATATTAAAAGAACTGAGGTTCTTTTGCCTTTTGTTTGCGTGGATTTGTTTGTTATGTTTTTTCTTTTCCTTCTGCTTACTGTGTAATTGGCCTTTGAACGGATGAGTAAACAAATAAATACAGAATTGAACTTAACTGAGTTATGACTACGTCTGATTTTCTTTTCAGTCATGTTCATATACTTACTGTCGCCTATACTCGTATACTCTTAGATCAATTTTCTTTTTTCTTTTTTTCCTTGGCGCTACAGCCCTCATTTGGGCCTTGGCCTACCTCCAGGAAACTCTCCGTTTCACTTCGGTTTACTAGATCCTAGACATTCGGCAGGACTCCTTGGGCGGGTGATCAGCTCGTCGCAAGGCCTCTACCTGTACACAAACATCCATGCCCTGAGTGGGATTCGAACCCACGATCCCGGCTTCCGAGCGAGCGAAGACAGTGCATGCCTTAGACCGCTCGGCTACCGTGACCGGCACTAGATCAATTACATATGAGAATTATTTTACAGCATTCACCCAAATTACCAAGAATTTATTACAATCAACATAATGGCAAATTTATCTCTGGGCTTAATTAATGATGCAACACTCTAGGAGGACGTAAGGGAAAGTGGAAGCATAGCTCAACCTCTTTTAACCTTGACCTTTTTAAACTTCGGGTATACCAGATCCGTTTCTGGGAAACTGCTCAACCGTTGATACGAAACGTGTGTCAATCTCGGGGCAACGTTTTGATTTCTACCAGCGTATTCATTGCTACGAAACGCGCTTTTAGCGAGACGTTGTCTAGCAATGGACTATTCCGCGTCTATTCTTTGCCGTGCAAACGTGCTTACCGGACCGTTGTCTAGCAATGGCCATATTCGTCGCATTATATCTCACCTTAAGAAATATGGACTAAGAGCAGAGAACGTATAAATTATAATTAAAACGGTGATGATTTTATTAGCTTCTATAGAAAAATTTAAGACGAGAGATTATTGTCTAAGAAATATTACGAGATAAAAGCATAGATACACAGAGATTATGAAAGTCTCGTCCTTGTTAGTGTGAGAACTGTGGTTCTGACCCACTTGAAAGGATACCGTACATATTTTCATCTTGTATTGCTGGGAAGAAACTGTAATTCCTTTGTCTATATCAGATGCCATGTTTTGTTAGTTTCATTCTTAGTGTATTTGTGCTAAACATCATTACTGAGAGGTCACATAAAATGGAAGTGTCATGTAGCAGTTATGCACGTCTGATACTGCTGAAGGGATACGCTTATTCTCCGCCGCCTTGGTGACTATGAACATGAAGCTCTAAACGAAATTGTTATATTTAAATAAATAGTTAATCATAAAATTACTGACTGATATATTGGGTTTCGGGACTTTATCCATCGTCCTGGTTTTTGAGATAACTAAGAAAAAACACGACGTTTCGGAAACTGGATCTGTTTCCGTCCTCAGGTGAGGGGAAACATCTATTCTAAGGGACCGAACGTCCAGTGATTGAGGCTAGTTCTTTCTAAGGGACCAAACAAAATAGGTGTTTTCCCTCACCTGTGTACGGAAACAGATGCATTTTCCGAAACGTCGTGTTTTTTCTTAGTTATCTTAAAAACCAGGACGATGGATAAAGTCCGAAAACCCAATATCTCTGTGCGTTATACACCATCGTCAGAATCCTATAGTAACTAATAAAATTACTGGTAACACCAAAGGAATGGATTCAGCTCACTCAGGATAAGGCTCCGTGATTGGCTATNAAACTAACTTTACGTGATTTTAGAGATGCATCTCAACACAAGCTATGCCATCTCTTATTTCTTGTGCATTCCAGGGGTAGCAGCCCCGGATGCGCTGAACCAGCGTGAGGAGTTTTCTGTAGTCTCCTGGATTTCTTATACTCTAGATGCAGGCGATACGTTCCTCCGAAACGTCGGTTAACAAAATATCTATACGGGGCCACATCCTAGAAAACGGCATTCTTCATAGTCACCGCCGTGAACACCTCAAATCTTGCCTGTAATAAACAGATGACACAATAAGGAGCTCAAATACTATATTACTTGCGGACAGAACTTCGCCAAATGTGCTGAGTATATATTTCGCGTTCATTTCCCAGCCGATTTCACATAAGCCCTAATGAATAACTTGAAACAATGTGCAATTGATACGACTCCAAGATCGCACGCAATCCTGACACAAACTAGCAAACTTCTAACGGGCGATTCTTAAGCACCGTCGACCTGGCAACATTTAATCTAGACAAATATTTCTGAACTTTATGAATCTACAAGTAGTTCTCATTCGTGTGCTGTGAGTGACATATACATGTAAGTCTATTCATTGCAGTATTCTCAATAGATGACGGTCACGGTAGCCGAGCGATCTAAGGCATGCACTGTCTTCGCTCGCTCGGAAGCCGTGATCGTGGGTTCGAATCCCACTCAGGGCATGGATGTTTGTGTGCGTTTTTCTGTGTTTGTCTACAGGTAGAGGCCTTGAGACGGGCTGATCACTCGCCCAAGGAGTCCTACCGTATGTGTAAGATCTAGAAAAACCGAAGTGAACGGAGTTCATGGAGGTAGGCCTAGGCCCACTGGGGATGTAGTGCCAAGGGAAAAAAAATTCATAACAGGTACACTGAGAAGAAGCTAGGTATTTATGGTAAAATGCGGCCCATCAGTGGCTTCAAATTGGATATTCACGATTTTAAAAAGTTAAAATCTTTAATGTTAAACTGAACTTCCCATCAGAACTGATAATTGAGGAAGACAAATTTTATATACAGATAAAGGTCATATATATATCATACATTGCTTAATATCGAATTTGAACAGATATTTCAGCAATATCATGAAGTTTAAAATCGATCCAACTGTTTAGTATCGATAGGTCCTATATCGCATTTCCCATATCGATTCACGTCCTTAACTTCTGGAAGGCAGCAGGCATTCCCTGGATCACGTGATTCACTGGAAAACTATAGGCCAGACCAATGTACGCATCTGACAGACGAAAATCGGTGTAAATGTGTGTGTGTGGGCCCAATCTGAGTGACACTATCGATCGTTGAGGTCCATGTCCTCAAACCCACGTCCTTTGCTGATTTCTGTACCTGTCTCAGTCACCTCGGTGGCACTCCTGTGAAATTTCAGAGTTGCGCAGTGAGGCCATAGTGGCGGACCGTGTCTTCTAAACGCCATGAAAGAAGAGTGAACTAAAACTGCATTGAAGAATGCCGTCTTCTGGGATGTGGCGCCGTGTAGATCTTGTGTGAACTGACGTTCCTCCGAAACGTCGGTTCACACAAGATCCAAATGGCGCCTCCAACCTTACATAAAAGTGCAATATCTAGCTCTTGGTCTCTGTTCGATGACTTACCGACGTTTTTCAAACTGACGTTAACTGTGCAACACTGAATGTTCTATGATTTGTCACTGAGAAACTGAAGAAAACGAGAAATGACACACTCTTCGCATACTTCGGACGTTATTCCAGCCTGTATCTGTTGGGACTGAGGAACAGACATGGTGTAGTTCAAGTTGCTCTCATTGCTGTTAAAACTACTGATATTAATATGACTTTATATGAAACTAGCCACTGGCCTTAAATAAACATCGAAGTCGTTTGAAAACAAAATTCTAGAGAGGATATATGGAGTGAAAGGAGTGTAACAAGATGTAAAGTCGTCCCTGTGCTTAACTAATTAAGCATTAATTAAGGCGTATGGGGGAGTGGATGTATAGATCCGCATTTTCTTGACCTTGGCACTATTTGGAGGTAAGTGGTCAGTTTCACTCCCCTGTCGCTTTACCCCCGGGGAAAGAGTCCCCGGTATTCATTGGATAGGAGGTTGGGCGGACCCCACAGCCGGTCTGGACGACTTGGAGATCGGTGGGACATACAGAACGCATGGTAGCTAGGAAAAATGCATAGTCGGAAACCTGAGAGGAACATCACTTGCTACACAAACATTCTGTAAGATAGTTATCAACTTCTGAGTTGCAAAAGAATTGAAGGACATTCCTTGACCAGCTGAGCGACTAACAATTCCTGTACCATGGAGCAAGATACTAGGACGGTATGGGTGGGAAAATTAAAGGCACTGAAGGAATAATAGCAAACAACAACGAGAGGGACGAGTTGGAGAATATCTATAATGTAAAGAATTTGATCAACATATTGCCAGGCAACGGCTCGATAAACACCCCGCGATACACGCACGCAACAATAGATTGGGTTATGCAATCCGTTTCTAGCTCGGTAAAAAATTTCCGCATATCGGACCGTGTTATGGAACATGGTGACGTCATGAACCATACAGACTGTTTTCCGTTGGGTATGTGCAAAGTACTTCTAAAGACGCGTCCACATTACTCGTGCTCACCAGGCTTGTGCTCGTCTGGAGATTCGTCTGGCTTTTACTTGTGCCTGTAAAGCTTCATCCACACTACTTCAGCTGCTCGCCAGGCTTCGGCGCGTGAGGATCCGTGTATTTACTCGTAGTGTGTACAGGCTGTAGTCGTATTTTAATTTATTGGCTATAGTTTTTAAATTAAAAATTTAAAATTTGCTTGTCTCGTGACTTGCCATATCGTCCACATTACTCGCGAGCACAGCGAGTCACATGAGCACGAGTAATGTGGACGCGCCTTTAGAGAAGTGTATTCACAAGCATAAGCTTAGATTTAGTTTAACAGACACATACACATAAGCGCGCGCAAGCACACACACACACACACACATTTTAAAAAGAACATTTTTCCATACCTGTATCTCCAGGACAGTAACAGAACCCAAGTATTCCACTACGGCAAATGACTGTTATCTCTTTCGGAAACGGTTACCACCAGATTGTTATGTCAATAAAACCGTGAAATTCACTGAAATCTGTTAGCATGTTATTACAGCCAAGTGTTCCAGCATACACATACACGCGTACTAACCACATCTGTACTCGAAAGAGAGAAAAAAACGGAACACGTACTGAACACGCATTCTCCTCCGACGATGACGTCAATGCCGTAACAGGATCAGCCGCGGCAAGGGAAACCTCTGAAGGGAAATGGCGACCTGTTCGGATTACGAGTATCAGTAAACTAAATAGATTTACTTCGGTCTCCGTGGCTGGAAGTGCTTTTGTGTAGCGAAGTTACCAAACCCTCAGCTCCTTCGTTAGCTTCCAAAGCTTCCTGTTGTTTCAGAGGAAGTCGGGGTCGTGTGGTACAGCACTGACAGGATGAAATGGGGTAAAGGAAAGCGGCCTCTCATTTCATTAGTGCACACTATAGAATATTTCAGCATATATATATTTGATCTTTTTTATTGCTAGTGGGGTGGGACTAAGTCCCTTGAACTGCGGCCACTTCTGGCCTATTGTACCAGCCCCAGATGATAGGTGAGGGTGATTGTGGAGCGATTGGTGGGATGAAGATTGGCAGGGGAAACCAAAGTACTCGGAAAAAACCTACCCCAGGGCCACTTTGCCCACCACAAATCCCACCTGACCAGACCCGGGATCGAAACCGGGCCGCCGCGCTTGAGCTATGGCGCGGCCTATTTGATTTTAAAACTGAATATTTCTCATTCTCGAAAACTGGATTCTTTAATTGCAGAGTTTGGAGTTTTATCTGTAGGCCTTGCTAGGAGAACCAGGTCTCATAACGAGAGACTACGTTTCGCAGAATCGTTGGTGTCTTGTACCAACCTTGCTAAAATTGTGAGCAATTCCTTTGACGGCATCATTATTCAAATTTGACAGCAGAGAGACTGGTATGATGCTATGTTCGTTGACAATGAATGTCATTCTCTTTAAAATTAAAAAAAAAAAGTCTATACAAAGAAATTTCACTTACTTTCTCATGTCTGACAATGACAGTTGTACCATGAAAACTATATCATCTGTTGCTCAGTGGGCCATATCTGGTTGCTGATAAAGGAACAACAATGGGTCTTGGTGGGCATACCGTTATTTCCACGGAGATGCTCCGCATGCATCATCAGGAAAGGCCTGACTTTCGGAGCAAAATGCCTCCTTATTCCTGTTTCAAATTTGCAGAGTTCTAGAGCCTTGCTCAACATTATCAACGCCCCTCATGGGGCTCTCCCCAACCTTCTGGTGCCTCCCGTCTTGATGACAAGAGATTCCGGCAGAGAACTGTTGAAGTTCTTCTGGACAGGAATCCCAGACACCTGAGCCTTCTTGCCTTCACTGTTTTGATTACGGTCTGTGTAATTCATGTAATTCATGGTTACATCTAACTCGCCGTGAACCGCGCTCATTAATGGGGATCTATATTTCTCTCAATATTTTCCTTTCAAATGCTTTTAGCTTGGTTTCATAACATTCAGTCAGCCCAGCTTTCACTTCCTACACGAGAACAGGTCTCATAAGTGTTTTGTACAATTTACATTTGGTGCGAGTGTTCAGAGAATGTTTTCCATAAAAATCCTTAAGATGCCACCGACCCAGTTTTATTTGGGTATATTTTCTCCTTAAATGACTAAAAGTTAGTCACATTCGTTGGAGTCATTTTCGAGAAATCGCAATTTTTTTTTTTGGGGGGGGGGTATTTCAAGGGTCTTTCAGTGCCAAAGTTCATCGGGTGCCGACCTGTGACAGGCGATCTCTTCAATACAGAATAAGAATAAAATTGGTCCAGCCATCCAAGCCTAGCGATCCGCACCTTCGCACATACATACATACTGTCACGTGTAGGGGGTACGCGTGACGAGATGACGGGTTCTAGTTCGGATGACTGGATTTTTTTGGCAGCTTGGTTACACACTCTCTCTCAGTTAGACTCAAATTACAGTGCTATTAAAGTCTTCCGATCACACGCCAAGTCTTCACACGACGAACTTACGTGGCTGTCACTTAAACACTCTCAAATACACTTAAATACTGAGATATTTTCCAAGTCCAAGTCACATGGCGACTGACGGTCAGTCAGTCAGTATGTCTTGGTGTCGAGCCCCGTCTGAGGCTCATGACCAAATATTTATTACTGTTGAACGTTACGGTTTTGTTTTTTGTGGGATGCCCTCTATGACGAGAGGACGGGTCTGTCTTTTTTACATGCTACTGGTTCTTGCCATCGCAGTCTTTCTCGGGTCCGAGCTCCTTGGGCCTTGCAACCGTATTTTACTGTCTCAGATTTGAGACTTCCCTTTTCGTCGCCTCCTACGACTCGCAGGGTCACGGTGGAGGTATTAGACCCCTCCTTCACACGGGGGAAAAAGAACCACACATAAAAAACACCTTTATTGTTGGAACGCGTTTACAGAGCGATTTCATGGCGCCGACCGAATAGAAAACGCCGCACTCCCATTGTCACCCTGGGTTTAGTTGGTTGCGAGGTGTTAACGGTCAGTTGCCTGGCAACGCTGTGTCCATCCACGTTACATTACATACTCGTATATACACAGACAGCCAGACGGCATGGGAGTCATATTGAATCATCAGGACTCGGGTTGTTAGCATAAAGACGTAATTTCGGATCTCAGAGGTGAAGAAATCTCCTCATTAAGTAGAAGCTTTCTAGCCCCTGCTTGGAAAGGACACATCGTAATTTAAAGATCGACTTTGAGTTTTCATTTTAAGAATACGACAGAAGAATTCTGAAGGTTTTAATATTTCAAGTGCCTGAAATTTTCAAGATGACATTTGAAGCCACGAGCGCAGAGAAGCTCTCTTGCAGGAAGCGGCAGTTGAGGCAGATGTGGAGACAGTCAAACCCGATCCATGCGGAAGGAAGGAAGCCTTGCGTGTGACGTATTTAAACTGAATCAGGCCCGCATACGGCCGGAAGTGGAATTATGCAACTTCCTGACATGTACAGAAAAAAACTCACGGTTTGGCCAATGCTGAAAGCAAATACATTTCGACTCTGATTTATTGTGGAGCCTTTGCAATGCATGTTACGTTTCATCTATCCGTTATATCTGAAAACACCATAAGTATTTCTATTATTAGCTTACATTTCTTATCTTTAAAAAGTAAATGAGGCTTATGAGATCACCTTGCTGCCTGTGCTTCTCTTAAATTGCTGCTAGTTGTCGCCAGCACACTCACTCTTGGTTACGAGTCCCTCTTTCAATTCTTGGAGTCGTGTAACTCCTTATCAAAGTCAAAGTCACATTGCCACTGACAGTCAGTCAGTCAGTCTGTCAGTAAGTCCTGGTGTCGAGAACCGCCTGGGGCTCATGACCAGATATTTATTACTGTTTGACAGTTACGGTCTTGTTCTTGTGGAGCGCCCTCTCTGATGAGAGGACGGGTCTGTCGTTTGTATATGCTGCTGGCCCTTGTCTGTGCAGTCTTTCTCGGGTCCGAGTCCCTTGGGACTTGTGACCATATTTTACTGTCTCAGATTTGAGACTTCCCTTTTCGTCGCCTCCTACGACTTGCAGGGTCAAGTTGGAGGTATTCGACCCCGCCTCCACATGGGTTTCTATTTCCCCTAATTCCGGTTTATATATCTTTGGGGCGGACCGCACTGAAAACACCGTCCCCAACAGTTGGATATATCGTTTTCTGTGCGGACTGTGCCGTAGCAAAAAAAGTAAGCGACTGATTCTTCCCAGAAGATCTTGTATTTATTACTTTTGGTTCACATATGAAGTTCGCCCAGAAACCGGAAAGGTTGATTTTGAGGTAACGTCATAGACTTGCATTCAGTAGATGTTTGGTTCGAATCTCAGCCAAGACACTGACTGTCCTGGGTGAGACGTTTAGTTTTTTTTTAATCAGCATATCTATGGGCTTGTTCAAAAGTTAAAAGAGACGAGATTTCATTAGGCAACTATTCTTCTACAAGAAAATGAAGCAGGCTAAAAGCAATAAACTCAGAATTAGCGGAATACATTTTAATAATTCACTAAATATAATGTTTGGGACATCGGAAGACTGGGATGAAGCGACTGAAGCGAGCTTTGGGCACGGGCGCAATGTTTTAATCCCTGAGGAGCGCCCATTATACTAGTTGTGTCCGTGTGCGTGACTGTGCGCATGAACCAACAGGGGCGGGTTTTCTCCGGGTACTTCGGTTTCTCTTGCCAATCTTCATTCCACCAAATTCTCTATCATAATCACCCGGGGTAGGTACAATAGGCCAATCAGTGGCCGCCGTACCGAGTGGACCTAGCTGGACTCCACTCCCCACTAAGCGAACTAAAAAAAAAATACCGACTACACTACCCCGGCTACTCATATTGCCTGTTTGGTAATTTTTCCTTTTAAGTTTTACGGATTTTGAAGTAATTATAAAAAGGGAGCAAACTGCTCCATAATGCTCACGATGTATCCACATTTCGTTAAGTTCTCTGCGTTCTTTGCAGCATATGCGACCAGGGGCAGTGTCACAGACAGACAACCCAACCAAGGAGACCTACAAACATGTTCAACTTTCAGAACTAATCCAGAATTGGGCCTTGTAAGGTGACATATACCGTGAAGCATCGGTAATGCGAAATGGCTAATGGTACACTCCAGACACATCAGTGCTTTAATTAGACCAGGCTACAGAGGTTACGGCCGATCGCAGAGACCGCGCGGCCTGAGGCATGTACTGTCTTCACTCGCTCGAACTCTGGGATCGTGGGTTCGAATCCCACTCGTCATGAAGGTCTGTTTGCATCTATTCTGACTTTGTGTTAAGTTAGCAGCCTTGCGACGGGCTGATCCCCGTCCAAGGAGTCCTACCGACTGTCTAATATTAAGAAACTGAAGTGGAACGAGCGTGTCACGGATGACTTATGCTCCAAGTGGAAGCAAGAAGAAGAAGAGGAGGTGGTGACAATGTACAGTGCACTGTGCATTCTGGAAATTCCGCCTTATGTCTCTGGCTACAAAGACGTATTTTCCTGTTTATATGGTAATGCCGAGCGCGTTATATAGCGGTCATATTCGGATATTCGGGATTTGTATGCGGAAAATGCCTGTTCGAGTCTCGGTTCGGATACCGGCTATCACAATTGAAGTATTTTATGGTTTCATCACTTCCTCCATAT